ACCGTGTTAGCCAGGATGGTCTCGATCTCCTGACCTCGTGATCCACCCGTCTCGGCCTCCCAAAGTGCTGGGATTACAGGCTTGAGCCACCGCGTCCGGCCAAGACCAACACTTTGGGAGGCCAGGAGTTCGAGACAAGCCTGGCCAAAATGGCAAAGTCCTGTCTCTACTAAAAATACAAAAATTGGCCAGGCATGGTGGCACAGGCCTGTAATCCCAGCCACTCAGGAGGCTGAGGCAGGAGAACTGCTTGAACCTAGGAGGTGGAGGTTGCAGTGAGCCTTTCAAAATAGTGTCACTGTACTCCAGCCTGGGCAGCGAGACTCTGTCTCAAAAATTAAAAAAAAAAAAAAAAAAAATAAAATAAAATTTTAAAATATTAAACTTTTACATATTTTTAAATGTCCAAAGCAAATGCCTGGTCAAGCATGCACAATATTCAAGAATGCAAAAGAGAAAAGATCAAAGTTTAACTACCGTTTTATAATGCTCAAATGCCATAAACTGGATTGCACCATAGGGAAAGATTCGAATCATCATTGCACCATTTCCTTTATACAATCCAAGGAATCCTTCTTTTTGAGGAACAGCACGCAATGCAGAAAATACTCCTATTTTTAGAGGAAAAATGCTGTTAAAACAGAGAAAATTACCTAAATCTAAATTTTCATGACAACCACAGATAAAGATTAATGTGCCATCACTTGGGATATAATTTTGCTTAAGGAATTACATGAATAGTAATTTCTATAAAACAGCTAAACCTACTAAAAATACAAAATATATCCAAATAATATAAATAAGCACACCCCATATAATATAAAACCTACTGTAGAAACAGCTACAAATTACAACAAATTCTGTTTATAATAATAGCAAATTATATTAAACTATAGCAATCTAAAAAATATTAACAATAGAAATATATGCAAGGTCTAGGTTTGCACTAAAGATGATCTACTCTTTTTTTTTTTTTTTTTTTGAGACAGAGTTTCATTCATGTTGCCCCAGCTGGAGTGCAGCGGTGTTATCTGGGCTCCCTGCAACCTCCGCCTCCCTGCACTCTCTGCCTCCCAGGTTCAAATGATTCTCCTGCCTCAGCCTCCCAAGTAGCTGGGATTACAGGTGCCCGCCACCACGCCCAGCTAATTTTTGCATTTTTAGTAGAAACGGGGTTTCACCATGTTGGCCAGGCTGGTCTCGAACTCCTGACCTCGTGATCCACCCGTCTCGGTCTCCCAAAGTGCTGGGATTACAGGCGTGACCCACCATGCCTGGCCCTGAAGATGATCTACTCTTATCTGGAAGGATGAAGGCAGGTTTCAGAGGCCTACCCAGATACATGTGTTTTGTTTGTTTACATAAAGAGACTTTTAAATAAAACAAGCAAATAAAAAGACTACCTATTAATACTCTTTAAGTGTGGGGGCAAATTTTCATTATTAGGACACTTTAGGAATAATGATAAACAAAGGGCTCAGTTGTAATCTATATACAGTGATATTCTGAGCTTTCTAACTGACAAGTAAAAAATATAGATATAGATACATCTATATATAGTGATATCTTTATTACTTTATTAACATCGGTCACTAATCCTACAAGCAGTATACAGACTTCTCAAAAACACATCACTACTTCCATTATTCAACAATTTAAATTCAAGTTTCCTTTCAAATTTTTCAAGGAAACTTTTGATCAAATATGAAAGTAAATCACCAGGCTCATTTCAAATTTTAGACTGCAAATAACCTTTTCAGCCCTTCTCAGTAATTAAAATTGTAGGTACTTATTAACATCCAAAAGATATATCCCAAAAGTATCTCACAATAAGCAGATATCTAAATGTACTAACATTCTGTTAAGAAGAATCCTGGCGTTGCGTGGTGGCTCATGCCTGTAATCCCAGCACTTTGGGAGGACAAGGCAGGTGGATCACCTGAGGTCAGGAGTTTGAGATCAGCCTGGGCAATATGGTGAAACCTCGTCTCTACTAAAAATACAAAAATTAGGCAGGCATGGTGTCCTGCGCCTGTAATCCCAGGTACTCAGGAGGCTAAGGCAGTCTGACCTACATGATGAAACTCTGTCTCTACTAAAAATACAAAAATTAGCTGAAAGTGGTGGCAGGTGCCTGTAATCCCAGCTACTAGGGAGCCTGAAGCAGGAGAACTTTTTGAACCCGGGAGGCGGAGGTTGCAGTGAGCCAAGATTGTGACACTGCACTCCAGCCTGGGCAATCAGTGAAACTCTGTCTCAAAAAAACAAAACAAATTGGAATAAGGAGAAATTTTAAATATACTCCTTCCTTATAATTTGAGGAAAATAATTTTAATTTAAAATAAGAAGTACAACCAGGCACAGTGGCTCATGCCAATAGTCTGAGCACTTTGTGGGGCCAAGGTGAAAGGATTGCTTGAGCCCAGGAATTTGACACCAACCAGCCTGACTCAGCCTCCCAAAGTGCTGGGATTACAGGCGTGAGCCACTGCACCTGGCCTTTGTCTTTTTTTTTTTTTTTTTTTTTTTTGAGACGGAGTCTC